GTGGTGAGACGTCTGGCACGTCCTCCAGGAGAGTGGAGAGGGAGGGGACTAGGGAGGTGCACAGTTGGACGGCCAGCGGCCTCTCCAGGTTCATGGTCTTGAGGCAGCATGGCCGGCCAGCCTGGCCATGTTTGGTGTCATCCTCATTCAGCTGGGGGCCGACAGACCCGGAGTTTGGGGTAGTCTGGGGCCGTGGAGGAAACCAGGGCTGGGATTGCACCAGGTGGGCATCAGATGACCAGAGCAGCCAAGGGAGTTGAAGGTGTATGTAGTTAACTGTGGAAGTGAAACATTGGCCTTTACTCTGACAATCTCAACTGTTTCTCTTTTGGCCCTGTCCAGTCTCTTTATGGTTTAGAACTATTGTAATTTTTTTCACTGTAGGCTATCAAGCCAGGCATGTTTTTTTTTTTTTCGTTTTTGTCTCCTGCTAGCAAGCTAATATAAAAACTGTGTTTAGCTAACTGTTTCAGTCTCAGAAACCACCAATTCCTGGGATGTGAGGAGCAGCCCCCCAGTCCTTCCCCTGGCAAGTCTGCCAGGGTAATTGGCCTGCAGCAACCCCTCCCACCCCGAACACCTAATGTTTGAAGGATGTCTTTTATACTTTCATACTGTCCTCTCCTGTTCTTCTCTCCTAACCTGCTAATGAACTCCTGAGGGCAGAGTATGTCTTGTGTCTTCTGTTGCACATAAGCGCCTGAATGGTTGGCTCTCAGGCTGTAAATTATATTCATTTATTAACATTCCGCCTCCGTTGTGAGGGATGTGCTGTTTGTACTGCTCATGTTCTCTGTATGGGAACCTTCTGGGCCACTGCTTCCCAGCATATGGCTTAGTGTCAGGTTCTGTTGTCCTGTCCTGTCCTGTCACAGGATCTGGGGTTCCTCTGCCTGTCTGGGGAGGACTGGCCCAGTGTTTTTCCTAAGAAGCCCCACCCAGGGTGAGCCTCGAGCCAGGCCAAGCTGGTCATCTTTGGAAAGTGCTGAAATATTTGAACCAGATGGCCCTCTTGCATATAAGGTCGTCTGTCCCGGAGGCCCTGAAAACGTGAGCTGCCCATCTGCCTTTGGGCCCAGGATCCTCAGGTTGCAACAGGAGGGTTTAGGACATCAAAGGGATTTTTATTTTTATGCAAACAAGATCCACAGAGACTGGGAAGGTGAGTCGGAGATAAACAAGGTGAATTTATTTTGGAAAACCGCTGAGATAATTTGCGCATGTGGGAAGCAAAACAGTTTAGCATGAGGAGACCCTTGAAGACCTGTAGTTCTGGAAGGAATACGTGAGAGGTGAATGTGCCCTTCCCCCGTGGTAAGGGGGACAAAAACCACCGTGCAGTTCTAGGTGGAAAGCGCATTCAGATCTGTCTGTACTTCATCTCTGTGAGCATGTATTTAACATCTGGGGGATGATATTTGTTCATCACCGTGTTAGGTAAGACGGAAGAACCTTGTCTTCGGGTGCTTGCAGTGTTTCCTGCCACTGGGCACAAGGGCTGGTTCGGATACAGCCTCAGTGGAGAGAGAAGGCTTGGCCTCCTCTAAAGAGGCTCCATACCTGCCAGGTCTGTGGTGTTGCGTTAGTGACACTGGAATTCGGGTGAGGGAGAGAGAGAGCCCTGCTGGCGTGAATAGAGGCCAGTCCGCTGAGAGCAGGACTTAAAAGGATAAGGAGGATTAGCCGAACAGAGGAGGGGACCCGGGGGTCAGGTGTGAGGAAAGGGGGAGGCGCAGGAAAGAGGAGTTTGGACCTGATACTCAACCAGGGAAAATGGCTTATGCTTTGGCTGTTTGGCAGGTCCCCTAGAACTTATGGGAACAAAGGAGAAGGCACCGTGTTCACCCCAGAGGTACCTCCCCACCATTCCTCCTCATCTCTGCCAAACTGGAAATGGCCCTGTCGGCCTCAGGTCCTCGCCAGCTGTGATCACTTGATCGCTGAGCCTGGAGGCCCTCCTCATTTGTTTAATCCTACTCTACTATTCATTTTCTCTGCTTCTTGTAACCTGATAGTCCCCTCTTCTCTGAGTCTTAGCTCTCATGCCTGCCCAAACTGTATTTCTAAGTCACAAATGATATAAGTCCTCTGTGTTAAAAATTGGCAATTCTCTGCTGTCTGTTGGACAAAATCTAAACTTGATGCCTCTTCTAACCTGGCCCCCAGTCTCCTTTTTCTTTTCTTTTCTTTTCTTTTCTTTTCCTTTTCTTTTCTTTTCTTTTCTTTTCTTTTTTTTTTAAACATTTATTTTTTGAGAGACAGAGACAGAGCGTGACTGGGGGAGGGGCCGAGAATGAGAGGGAGAGACAGAATCGGAAGCAGGCTCCAGGTGCTGAGCTGTCAGCACAGAGCTGGATGTAGGGCTCGAACTCATGAAAGGTGAGATCATGACCTGAGCCGAAGTCGTACACTTAACTGACTAAGCCACCCAGGCGGCCCTCCAGCCTCCTTTTTCTAGCTGTGTTCTGGGTCTGAGTGGCCATTTAGGAGAGGTAAAAATATTTTACAGTAAAGCATTTATATTTTCCATAGGTCATGGAACAGGATAGACTCTTGAAAAGCACTTGGGATGTATGATGCCAACTACTTTCATTATTAACTATTCATATCTGTAACACAGAACTAGTATTTATATTTAGAATGATCCCATATCACCAAGGAAAATTTGAAATATGGTTAGTAACTCAGCTTTTAAAAAGACAGCAGAAATACACGGCATCTTTGGGGGAGGATTTCTACCCAAAATGACAAAAATTTTTTAAATATCTGGTGCTTAGGGGCGCTTGGGTGGCTTAGTGGGTTATGTGTCCTTCTCTTGATTTCGGCTCAAATCCTGATGTCACAGTACGTGGGATCAAGCTCAGAGGTAGGTTCTGTGCTGGCAGCATGGAGCTTGCTTGGGATTCTCTCTCCTCTCCCTGCCCTTCTCCCCACTCACCTGTGCTGTCTAGTGCGCGCGCTCTCTCTCTCTCTCTCTCTCTCTCAAAATAAATAAACATTAAAAAAAAGATCTGGTGTTTAAAGAGATCAGATTAGGTTATCTGGAGAACGCACTTACTATGCCCAATAAAGGAAATGTGGGGGGGTCGGCAGGCACACCCAGACCCTGGGTCTGGACCTTATCGGGAAGACCAGAGATGAGCAAGATTTGAGTGATCGCGAGAAAGCAGGGGCAGATATACCGGACTCCTCTGTGCCGGCGGCCCCTACATGGAGTTGGGGCCCTAGCATCACACATGCCATTCCTTTGTTGTCACTGATTTGAATGGCACTTCTTAGAACTGCAGGCAGATTCTTTTTTGACTGAGCACAAGGAGGATAAGAAGCCAAGGGAGACACATTTTGGAGCTGGCTGCCTGGAGCGTTTTTCAGAAGTGGGAGCAAACACGTAGTCACATCCCCACAGGCTAAATAAGAGGCAGAAGAGGAACCGGGTCTCCTAGGACGTGTGGCTCATGGGCCAGTGGTGAGGCCGCCTTCCCTCAGGCAGAACAGGGCTCTTGCTCAGCATTTCTGGGGGCAGCAGTGGCAGTTTAACGGGGAGGAAGGGTCACTGTAGGTAACTCCTTAGGAGGCAGAATCCTCAGGGAGCTTGAGCAGAAGCGGATGTGTTCTAAATGCCCTCAGGTACCTGCCACTGTGACCTCACCCTCCCCTGCCAGGGGCATGTTCATTCCGCGAGAGGAATGTTTTTACCAACTCAATTCAGTGGGCAGCGTGGACACTTTACACACACTGGCAGGGGGCGGCGTTGCCAGGATTAGTGGCTGGCGGAGCCTTTCCTTCCCGGGGGATGAGGTTGCCTCCTTCCCGGTCTGTGAGCCAGTGGGGGTGGGAAGGGAGACAGCGCTGCCCAGCCAAGTGGGAGGCTGCCTGGATTACCACACTGCCCCCTTCTCTTAATCCTCCTGTGGACAGCGGGGGGTAGCTGGAGAAGCCTGAATTGTGGGTTCGTTCCTGGCTGTCCTCCCACGTACAAAAAAGGATAACAAGGATGAGCCTTTGTTATCCAGTGCATTTTTGCAGTCAGTTCTTACTGAAGCCAAGCCAAGTTGGTCCAAGGGAAAACAAAGCTGCAGGAAACATGGACCTTTCTTACACCTTCTTGAAAATGCAAGTCATGTTGCCTAGGAAATACTTCTGTCCCCTAGCGTGCTGCACACCGCCAGCATTGGAGCTATGGAAGAGGCCGCTGAAGTTATTCCAAGAAAGCGTTGGAAGTTTGGTAATGAAAGGAAGTGTCATCTCTCCCCTGCCTCGAGGCTGGGTTTCTGGGAGTGCACACGGCCAAAAGGAAACTGTGCTCAGCTTTGGGAGGTGACTGTGTGCCGGGCTCCTGCACACGCTGGCCGGGTGTCCTGGCAGGGCTGGGTGAGGGCACGCGTGGGGCCGTGTGCAGAGATTCCCAGGGCCGAAAGCAGTGTGGTGAGTGAGAGGGTGCCAATTGGTTGGAAGGATGTAGGTAAACAAGAGTAAATATACATACAGCAGTGTGCAGCCTGCCCAAGTTCAGAAGCTGGCTGCTAGACTTGGCCGGCAGCCTCTCCCCCGCTGGCTCCAGAGCAGAGGGGAATCTGCAAGACTGACAGATCACAGGTGCCTCCCCCTGCTAGTTAGGAGGACACTTTTAAAGCATTTCCTTCTCACTCGACCAGGTAGCCTGGTGAGGGTGAACAGCTTGCTTGAATGGTGGGTAAAGGTGTGACCGTGGACACAGCGATGGAGAAAGCCGGGGGTGACACGCCCGGGAGCCCTGAGCCGTCCTTCCTGGCGACTCTGGGTGACCCACAGGTGACCCTCGTGTCCGTCCACAAGCGGTGGTCCTTCAGGAGGAATCCTGGGACCGGGGGCTCCACCAGGCCAGTGACTTCGGAGGAGGAAGGAGAGTTTTCACAGAAGGTTTTGAATGGAACACGGGGAATCCGTTCCAATCAGGTCAGTGCAATTGCAGAAGGGCTAAAAAGCCGAGAGGGAGTTGGACGGGCTTTTAGATGGAGGTTCCTCCCTTGTCTTACGAATGGGGGATCAGGGAAGCGCGGCCGGGGTGGGGAGCCAGAGTTGAGGTGATTCTCCAGACTTTATCCAGAGATAAAGTCCATCATGGTAACCGTTGGGTTTCTCGCTTGTTTTTAGGATATTTTGTAAGCCTCTGTGGGCCAAAAGTTTTCCGGAAGGCAGATCAGACAAAAATGGAGTTTTGCCCTCTTTTTGCTTTTTAAAATGTGTACCTTATTTTGTTAATCTCCGTATTTCGACTAAATAAACATTTTGAATGTGTTGCTGCAAAACGAAGCTGTTCTTCTTAAGCAAATGAACATTTTGTTAACCCAGAGGTCAGGTCATGTTCAAAAGTAGGGCAGTGTAACGTTTTATAAGAGCCTTGTAGTAACATTTCCGGGTGGGACTGGTGGTTTGTGTGGGGTCTTTTTCATTGATCAGGGCAGATGAAAAAATACCAGTTAGCAACAAAGGAAAGTTTTTGAAGTCCTTTGACCCTTTAAGAGTTATGTTTGTTTCTCCTGGGTTTTATTGTTTAAAAAGTCCCCACATTTGCTAAAGGAAATTTTGTGAAAAGAGATTTTTGAAATGTACTATGCAAGAGATTTACATCTGTTGAAGGAAATTTCTGAATGCCCTTATGCAGTGCATGGTTAACTTTATATTTTTAGCTGAGTGTGTAAGACAGAAATATTAGATTGGGGTGGGAATGCTTAACATTGCTTTAAAATGTTCAGAATACTACGTCACAAAATCCAGCCTATGTCTGAGATATTTGAATGTGAAATATCCTAATTTTTAAATGGCCATTACTAATCTCATGTAACTAGGGGAGCAACCTGAACCTGGCTGGGGGAGCCTGTCTGAAAGGAGGACCCAAGTAGAGGCCCACGTCCAGGCTGTGGTCCTGGGGATCTGGTGCAGATCTGGGCTCTGCCGTTGTGGGTCTGGGGGACCTGGCAGGTGAGGCTCGGGCTCCTCCAGCTCCAAATGCCCCACTGCAAAGTGGAAGTAATAAGTGCCACCTCACGGGATTGTGAAAGCACTTTGTGGAGTACTACGGAAATGCAAAATGGTATCGTTTCTGCCAAAATTATGATTTTCAGTAGAATTCCCAACTCAAGATGTGTTTGGTGCCCTCTGAATGTCTGGTAGAACTGTGTCAGCCAATTAATCTGTCGGACCACAGTTCTAGCTATTTTTTTCTAGAGCTCTGATTACACAAGTAACATGTGCTCATTATACAAGACAAATTTCGGATGAGGCAGGGGGAATAGAGAAAAGTATTAGGAAGAAAATGTAAGCAACCGTATGCCTTAGCCATATATGTGTACATGTATCTTTATTTATTTACAAACAGAGGATCAGGCCGTGCATAGTATTACGTACCTTACATTTTTTACTTAATATTTTGTGGACATACACCCACACACACATGATGTATATTCATCTATATTTATATACACATCTGTATCATCAGATTTAATTGCAGTCCTGCTTTTAAATTTAGGATTACTTTTAGAAAGAATCTAACTATTCTCAAATGGGGGAAATTTGTAGTAGCTGGTTTAGGATGAGAAGAACCAAGCTAAAAGTCATTTGTAATTGAGTATTTGTTCATTGTCAACAGTGTATTTGCTCAAAGTCTATTATAATCAAACTTTGGATCTACTTGAGAGTTAACTTGTTTAGTACTTAGTATGTCTTTTGATGATAGCCATTTTAACAGACCTGAGGTGCTATCTCATAGTGGTTTTGATTTGCATGTCTCCGGTGACTGGTGACGTTGAACACCTTTACATGTACCTGCTGGCGATTTGTACGTCTTCTTTGGAAACGTGTCTGTTCATTTCCTCTTCCTATTTTTTTGTTTGTGTGTAAATATAAAAATAAATATAAATATAAATTTTGCTATTGAGTTGTATGAATTCTTTATGGATTTTGGCTATTAACCCCTTATCAGATATGTGGTTTGCAAATATTTTTCTCCCATTCTGTGAGTTGTCTTTTCATTTTGTTGATGGTTTATTTTGCTGTGTAGAAACTTCATAGTTTGATGTGGTCCCACTTGCTTATTTTTGATTTTGTTGCTTGTGCTTTTAGGTGTCATATCCAAAAACTCATTGCCAGGATCCATGTATGTCAAGGAGCTTTTTCCTGTATTTTCTTCCAGAGTTTTATGGTTTCTGGTCTTCCATTTAAGTCTTTAATCCATTTAGGGTTAATTTTCATGAGTGGTGTAAGATAGGGGTCCATCTTCATTCTTTTACATGTGAATGTCCAATTTCTCGAGCACCGTTTATTGAAGAGACTATTTTTTCTCTCCACTGAGTATTGGTTCTCTTGTCAAATATCGTTTGACCCTGTATTGTTATTTTTTAAAAGGTTTATCAATGATTTGCAATTCTTTTTCTGAGGATTATATTTCGTAGCAAGTTCCTGTTGTGCATTACAGAGTAGCATACATTATAAATATGTATCCATACCTAAGTCTTTCAAAGGAATATACTTGTTTTATGTTTAGCTGATCATACCTATAATTCTAGGCATAAACTTACATTTGTTAGCCATTCTAGAAGACAATTTTGTGTGATGAAATGCTAACTAGATTATTTCACCACATGTGACAATCACATGGAATTTATCAATAATGATATAATAATAATAATAATAATAATAAACAAAAATAATCCCAAGTTCATTGACTTCGGTCATATAATTATCTGAGTTCATAGTGTTGCTGTGACATTTCTTCTAACCAGTGGTACTGTTGCATATATTTAATGTAGGTCTTTTACATCCTGATCTTGTAATTCTAGCAAACGACCTAAGGGAATTATGACCTTATGATTCTGGCTTAGACGTTTCATTCAAATATTAAAAAATATTCCAAAGAAAAAAATATTCCAAGATACTCACAGTTGCTTGGTAGTGACAGGCTCGTTATGTAAAATTTCTTTGATGGGAAGGGCTTGCAATGTAGTGTTCTCAGAGAAGCTGAAAAAATGCTTTTGATTTGGTAAAAGTCTGATGGAATATTTGTTAGGATAGATGTAAGTTAAAAGCAATGAAATTCTCTGAAACTGTTCATAGTAAAGCTGTTTGGAATGAGATTGCAAACAAGCTCTCTGAGGTAATAATCGTGAAGTGCTTCTTGGAGAGGTCTTATCGTTTGTGAATTTCTAAATTTTATTTTGTTGTGTGTAGAAAACAGCATGCATCGTATGTATATATTGAGACTGGTTTATTTTATTTAACTTAATGTGCTTTTTCTCCCAAGAAAATGGATGTACTGCACCCAGTTTCTCAGTAAGAGTTGATATTTTTCCTTGCTGTGGTCAAGGGAAGGAAATAGGCAATACATTTGTCCAGAATTTCCCAGGAACGACATAGTCAACCCCACAGCGGGGGTGGCCCTCGAGGGCAGAGATCCAAGTGTCACACACAGACGGCCCAGGTATGTAGTCGGCCCTCATCAGTGTTTGAATCAGTGCCTGAGTTTTGGTTGGTTCGTTTTTTCAGTAAATAAAGTTGAAATAATAGTTGGTGGAAGCTGTTTCTGGACGCTTGTAAGACATCCTGGAGGGACAGTTTGAAGGGGTTGGAGTGGGGGCTGGGGGATTATGTATACTAGTTTTAATCATTAGTTTTCCTTATCAGTTAAACGGTGGAAATAGTAAGTTCCCTGCCTACCTCCTTGGGCCACTTTTGAAGACCAAATGAGCCATGTGTGTTGTCATAGTCCCTGTCACACATTTATTATGTTAGCCTTTTAAATCTTTTTAGCTTTCCGGCCTTCCTGCAAAATTGTAGGGTGGGTATTTTTACTACCCCACTTTACATGGAGCTAAGAAAACTGAGTTTCGGGTTTGCTCAGACGTGGCTGGAATTCATACCTAAGACTGTCAGATGTACCCTCAGTAAATTCCCAGCAAGTAGGAAGGACAGATACTTACCCAAATATGTGAAAGTGTGTTGTAGAGTATGAGACCATGTGTATCACTGGTGCATCGTTGTTGTCATCTGTATCACAGTGATTAATAATGTTTACATCGTGTGGTTTAACAAGACATTTTCTGGGGCGCCTGGGTGGTTCAGTCAGTTGAGTGTGGGACTCTTGATTTCTGCTCAGGTCATGATCCCTGGGTCATGGGATCAAGTCCTGATTCTGGGTCCACGCTGGGCGTGGAGCCTGATTACGATTCATTCTCTCTGTCTCTCTGTCTCTCTGTCTCTGTCTCTCTCTCCCCCTCCCCCCATCTGTCCCTCTTCCCCGCTCACATGCTTTCTCTCTCCCTTGCTCTAAAAACACAAATATAGAACCCAAGGCATTTTCTTCTTTGCCTTAGAAAAAGTACAAAACCACATGTGTTTTCTGATGGAAGCTTTTTTTTTTTTAATTTAAATTTTAAGAACCGAAAAACATAGACAGTCTCACCCACAGGTAACCTCAATTTTATGTATTAATAAATCTGCCTACATACAGGTTTAGCAACAAGACATTGATTCTTCCTCAGTGGAGGTTTTAGAGACTGACGCCAGTCCGCCTGGGTGTTTCATGTGGGATCTTTTCTTGAGTCAAACAATCTCTTCGGACCCTCCCTCCCTTAGGAACCTCTGACATCCAGGGATTTCTCAGATAAGGGTAGGGCCTGGCAGTGACTCATTCACAATGTATTCCAGAGGATGTGGAAGGTCCCAGAACCACTGCCACCTCTCCTTGCGTCCTGCCTCCTCTTGCAAATGGAGTTGCCTTGAAATGCATTTGCAGTTAGGAATATTGAAGGGAGCAGAATGAGGGCCAGTGTTCTGCTGTAGTTTTTCTGAAGTACCAGAGACCCCGAGAGGTGACATACTAAGGGGCGAAGGCCCGACTCAGAAGCCAGCAGCCGGGCTCAGGGCTCCCGGCTGCTCCTCTGCCTCCTCCTTACTTTGCT